CAGGGTGCAGGGATTAGCATAGACCATTTATTCTCTTTCTTAACAATACTTTTAACTTGATGAAGGTCTTGTGTTATTAACTTCTTGCCTACACATTAATTTGCTTCATTTGCTATATTTATACTATATCCAGTACATCGGTGCAGTAATCCTGTATTGTGACCAGGCTCCATTAGCCAGTGTTTGAAGTATGTATCTTCACCGTTAGCATCTAAAACATGACCGATTACCAGAGCTGTTGAATCTTGATCTTTCAGTACTATCTAGGGCTTGCATCTCTTGTCCGTTTTTGATTTCTCGAGCTGTACTGGGTGATATATTGGATTTCCGCGGCCTAGCTGATATTCCCTTTTTAGTATTCTTCTCTCAGCTGTAACCAAAACCTTCTTTTCTACTTCACTAAATCACCGTGTTTTCATTCCAGTTATACTTTTACTCCTTAGAGCTCTGAGCTGTTGCTATGTTAATAGTATATTGCCTTCATAATCAATTATTTGCTCTAAGAAAAAAATTTCTAAATTGATGCAAGAGTTTTTACTCTTTTCAAATACTTTGGGTGGTATTAGATCCTCTATCATAGGGCCTGTGCCCTTTATTTGCCACTCTTGTTCATCTATACTAAGAAATACTTCGAACTATTTGCACCTTTCAACTATGTTACAGGTGATATTGCCTCTCTACCTAGTCTTGCCCATCTCAGCAACAGTACACTTCCAAAAATTTTGGTTTATCCCTTTACAAAAAATACCTTGTCTAATTCTAAGCCTTGTAATTCTACCTATTGTGTCTATATTATTTAAGCTCTTTAGAAGCACAACTGCTTGTCTTGCTATGAGTATACTATAGAGTGGTCAAAACCCTAGCATGCTATTATGCAATATAATATTGTTCAGACATGTTTGAGCTATTCCTAATTTTCTTTTAAACAAACATAGCATTGGTTGATGGATCGCTGCAACTTCATTCTTTGCAAGTGAAATGACCTGTAAAATATACTCTAATTTGGGTATTAATACTTGGTTGTTTATATAGACTAATTGGCTTGCTGTAATCTTCTTTTTCCTTATTAAGTGCGAAAAAAGGCCCACTATCTTTTTGGCCTTATTTTTAATGCTACCTATTTCTTTTGCGGTGTGAAGTGTAACACCTAAGTATTTTACATCATATAATTTTCTTTTTGCTATGATTTTTGTATCGCAAAAATCTATACACCTTTCTTGCTTAGCCAAACCCAAGTTAACCACTACTAGCTTGGATTTGTTTCTATTTATTTTAATATCATTTAACTTAAAAAATTGTTCGGCCAAAGCTATTACATGCTCCAGTTGTTGCTTCGAATTTGCCAACCAGGCTGTGTCATCAGCATAGGCTAATGCTGCTTGTCTGATCTCTTCTGTATGATCTAAGTCCATCAATATTTTCATTTTGTCATATGGCTTGAGGGTGTATCCCAGTTTCTTGTCTTTCTGTATCCTGTTAAGTAACGGATCATAGAAAATTCTTCAGATTAGAGGAGAAATAACTTCTTCTTGATCTATACCATCTTCAGCAGCAATCTCTTCGGTAAGACCAAAATTTGTAATTATTCTAAGCTTTCTGTCTCTGAAAAGATTTAGAATAAAACTACAAATAATCTGTGAGACTTTGATTCTCTCGAGGGCTTTCTGCAACATTTTAAGGTTTACTAAGTCGTATGCTTTTTTCATATCCTGGAAAAGGACCCATAACTCCTTATTCCGCTCTTTAGCCTCTTCTATTACTGCATTTAATATTTGAATTGGCTCTTCAGTTGAGTT